TTGATTTTTTTTTTTAATAGAAGAAGTCCTGCAGTGAAAAGATGTCTTTTTCTCTAATGGAGCAAAAGAATAAGAAATACAAGGAAAAAATGGCAAAAGGTATTCAGTTGGGGGGAAGTATGTCTTATCCTTCCTAACCTCGAACCACCGGATATGTGAGATTATTTTAGCAAATATTTTAGTAAACAGTCCATACTAAACATGCACAATTTTATCTTGCTTAAAAATTTCAGAGTAATACATGTGAAAGAGGAAAAATATTAGAGTTCCTACTATTTAAAGCAAAAAATAGATCAGAAAAGGCCTCCTATCCTCATGGCATTTGGCTAAAATGGCATGGCTTCACTGCCAGACCAAACTAAAAACAACAAAAACATTTCAACACTCAATGGCTTAAAATGTGACCTATGAAAGACTTCATGACCAGTTTCTTGAAATGCTGACGAGCCACACCATGACCTGTATTTTCTAAGTGATAAAGGCTATAAAATCCTGAAAAGCCATTTACAACAAGAGTATTAAATATGAATAAAGGACATTCCATCAATTTGAGTGTGAGTATACACGTGCATGCACTTGCAGATACACCTGTTCTGGTGAAGATGTGATATGAAAATCAATTGTTAAATTTCAAGGATAAATCCAAGAATATTTGAGGAAAGAGAAAATTTTAGGCCTCTTCTGTAAAAAAGCAAGCCTAAATAGAAAAATTACAAGGGACTTTAAGCAATTTGAATGTATATCATGAGTGATCATGACAATGAAACATAAAGTTCACCTAATGCGTAATTTTGCTGATGGTCCTGATGACAGAAAATAATGTAGCTACAAACAAAAATCACCTCTGGCAACTATATCATATATTGCCGGGATCTTATCTATAAACTTGTAAGGTCATGCTGAAAATATAAATGGAATGCAATAATACCAAATGATTCAATTTGACTTGCTGGGTCAGAATTAGGGATGCTTATTTTGAATAGTTTTATTAGTCAATCAGAAATAAGAAGTCACATGTCCACATCCAACCCAGTGATCACTACCAGGTTGCCATCAGAAGTGCTCCAGGCTCCTGAGCTAGGGTGGTGGGGGTCAAGGGCTTCAGCCACGCCCCCCTGAAGTCCCCATCCAGCCCAGCCATGACCTAACCACCACCTGAAGCCCTCTGGGATCCCCTGCTGGAATGAGCCGGGGGGGGGGGGGGGGGGGAGGGGGGGGGGCATACTCTGGGCCCCCCCCCCCCCCCCCCGCCATGCCCTAACCCCCCCCTGAAGCCCTCTGGGGTCCCCTGCTGGAATGAGCCGGGGGGGGGGGGGGGGGGGGGATGGACCTAGATCATGCCCCCCTCCTTCTCCCTCCTCCCACCCTATATCCTTTTCCCCCTCTCCCCCAACAGCTCCACAACATCTTAGAATGTAAAATAATAATAATAATAATAATAACTTAAAAATTAAAAAGAAATAAAAAGTCAAAAGAAGAGCTCTCAAAACAGGAACTTCTATCAATATAGTAAGATGTGAAAAATGAGAACACATACACAAAGGCATAAATATTAACATCTCCCAGAGATTAAGCTGTTTATATTTAACTGAAAATAATTTTGTCAAAAAGAAATTCCACTCAGTAAAAATGAAAATGTACAGCATGATGACTATACTTAGTAATATTGTATTGTATACTGGAAATGTGCTAAGACAGTACATTTTAGGTGTTCTTACCACACACACACACACACACACAAAGGTAATTATGTGAGATGATGGACATGTTAATTTGTTTGATGGTAGTAATCATTTCACTACATATATCAAAATCAGGTTGTACACCTTAAATATATACAATAAAAAGAGAAATTCTCTTAAAATAAAAATAAAAATGAAAATGTAAAATTAAAGACAAGCCTAAATCTGGGAATTCACTAATCTAAAAGGCAAGAGATAGTTTATTAAATAACATGCTAACAGCAATGATTTAGCTTTTAAAATTACATTCTTATCTAGGACGATCTTCTAAAATAAGGGCAAGATTCATAAAGAGCTGCAGACAAAAAATATATCTAGATTATGCCATAGAATAGTTAGTGGACCACAGAAAAAAGAAACAGATGTATGTCTCTGTAAGATATGATGTCTACATTGTTATACTAGACTACAAGTGCATTAAACATCTGTCCCCAATTCTGTAGGGTATATTCTTTTTTTGTACTTCCTTGTTGAAAATACTTCTAAAAAGGAAAAAAAAAATGTATGCTTAAGCTGGTTAACAAGCTCAGTTGGTTACAGCATGGTGTCATAACACCAAGGTCAAGGGTTTGGATCCCTGTACTGGCCAGCTACCAAAAAAAAAAAATCTTTCAAAGACAGAGGACTCTATGCAATATATTTTAATTTTAAAGTGCTGGCTCATGAAAATGTGGCTGTAGATTTAAAATACTCATTCAGTTATTTACCAATTGCTCATTGTTTCAGCCAAAGTAGGAATGTCTGAAAATTGTTGAACCAATTTTAGAAAGCATATCTGCCTCTTGTTTAATTATATAATTAGTATATTCCAGCTTCTCAGGTCAGAAATCCTAATGCAAGTACCAAGGTGGAACAGGACTTATAGGACTTAGAAGATACCACAACTGATACTTCTAGTCCACAAATATGACTCAAAATATTTTAGCATGAGCCTTCTTAAAGCCTTAAGTGCAAAAGAAGTAAGGCCATTCAGAGTTAAATGCCACAGAATAACTGCCATAAACTACAGTTCCTAATGGTCCACCTAGAGCATTTAGTACTAAACTTCAACTCCACTTAATGCTTACGAAGTAGGAAAGTTCTTAGTCATCACTTCTTGGACATACTGATTTTGTTTCACTTAGTGAACCACGTCCATAAGCACCTTGGCTTCCAAACTGAGTCACTTGGCTCCTTTCATCTCAGGCTCCAGTGACTCAGTATTGTTTGTGTTACTTCCTGATAAAGGCAGAGATCATATCTGACCAACCCTCTAAAGTATAAGGTGTTCTTTATCGTAGTTAAAATCTTAACAAGGAGGACAGAAACCACAGACTACTGAAAATAGAGGAAAATTAATGCAGAAAGTTGGTTACACAGAGAATAAAAGATATGAGAAGTCACCAAGAGGAGAGTGAGACAACTAGACACTAGTAATGCCTAGAAGTAACTACCACCCCTAGGCTAGAGAGACAAAGAGGAAGAACTGCTACTAGAGCCCAAGGCCAGGGTGGCATAGTGGATGCTGGAACTATGGCAGGCCTGTCCAGTGGGAACTGGAGCTACAAAAGAAACAGCTTTTGCCAACAACACCACTAGAGAGAGGTAAAGTGAGAAGGGAAGAAATGATCTGGCTTTTCCCTTCCTTAAATCTCCTATTATTCCCATTGGGTTCCTCAAACCCAGTGGAAGTCAGTGGGCACAGAAGCCTGGGAAAGGGAGCCTGCAGGGTTAGCCCTCCTTCAGTATAGAAGAAAGCAGAAGGGTGCAAAATGGACCTGAGGGCAAAGAAGCTCAAGACCAGCACAACTTTAAATAAAGTTCACATTATAAAGACAATCTCATAAACTCACTCAATCCAGCTAATTTCCCATTTCAGGTATTATACCAGCTGGCTCTAAGACTTCAACTGCATATTAATACTTCCAGATCATCTTTCAGATTTTGAAATGAAAACTCCTACAACAGTGTCTAGAAGTATAAGAACTATCTAACCAGTTACTATAATCAGATCTGTAAATAAGTTCAACTGAGATAACAGCATGTTCAGTCAAGTCTGTCTTTTAGTTTGCCTAAGTCTAATCTGAAATAATTTAAAAGACGTATTTTCTAAGAAAAATAAAATAATCCCTAAAGAAATGAAGATCATGTCAACCAACATTCAGCATAAACTACTTAAAACTGTTTCCAAGTAAAGGTTTCAAATGTACTTTCTCCAAAGCATCTTTTCATAGTCTTTAAAGAAATGTTAGATTTTTAATAACAGATGATAAAATTCATACCTTCCTATTCATTAAGAGAAATAAGAGTGCTGACACAAATTTTTTAGTATGAGAATAATAATACTGTGATTAAGAATTGTTAAAAGCTAATCTAGCATTTAAAAAAAAATGCACTGTTTCACATACAAAAGATTAACTACCAAAAAGAGTGACTATCATTGGCTCTAGATTGGAACTCACTAGTACGTTAAATCTGATTATTTCAAAAACTCCCTGAAATTTCTGCTATTTTACTAGAATTGCTACTACGTTATTCAAAATTTATAGAAAAGTGTAAAGCAAAGCTCATTGTTTTTAATTTTTTTTGATAAATTTATTTAATAATAATATATCTATCAAATAGAGCTTTAAAAAAATACTTAAACTTTCCAAATGGTTAAGAAATCTTCGTCTATTTGAAATACAAGCTTACCTTCATCAAATTGGCATATCAGTAAGTCAAATAACATGAATTTCACTTTACATACATTTTAAAATAAGTAAATATTCTGCCTTGACTCAAGATTTCAACAGAAAACTATAAAGCTATATAACAATCCTTAATTTTATTATGTTAATGAGCAATAAATTGTTTTATATGATAAAGGACACTGATTACATGGCGTAACAGATCAGAAAGATAGGATATTCAGTATAATAGTAATAGTGGCAATATCAAGTTAATTTCGATAAAATAGTTCTTAGTCTTTGGAGGCTTTCATGCTAACACTTAGGTCTCTACAAATTTAGAAAGCAGAAAAGAAAAATGATAATCTTTTTATTATGATTTTAAAGGCAAAAAAGATAATTTACTATTTTTTGAAAACATTATGATTAAGCAATAGATAAATGCCATTTCAGAATAAACCACCACAAAAAGATTGTAGCTATTTTAAATAATGCCACATTTCTGTCATTTATCAAATATAATTAAATACAGAAAAACTACCTTATTCATTGCTTTATTATTTTTTTTTTTAATATTACCAATGAAGAGTTTTTTTCTGTAAACACTTACCATCCACTCAGATATAATAACATCCACTTTTTCTACAGGAAGATGAACTTCTTCAATCTTTCCTTTAATTAGTATAATAGTATCTTCAAGTTTATTTAGTCTGAAAATTATAATAAATTAGACTAGTATGTAAAAAAAATTCTCAAAGCTTGTCAAAATACATAACTTTCTGTCGACATTTCATATTCTTTTGAAACAAAAAAGAATGTTTAAAGTTTATTCCCTGAGCTTGATAATTATTTTCTGTTCACTCCATGGATACCCAAGAATTTTTCTGACCAATATGGCAATACACTGAACCAATATCTAAAACTTCAACCTGAAAAGAAATCTGAATTTTATCAAGAATACATGTCAATAAAGTTACAGTGTTTGTTTTTTTTTTTTTAAAGGGGGAGGTAGGGGGACTGGAGACAGACCAGACAGACAACAAAAGTGTGGTTTAAAAGGAAGGAGTGTGTCACAGTGGTGAGAGAATTAAAAGCTGGAAGCCTTTATTTTAAATTCCAGCTCCTGGGCCGGCCCGGTGGCGCACTGGAGAGTGCGCTGCTTGGGAGTGGGGCAGCGCTCCCGCCGAGGGTTCGGATCCCATGTGGTGACCGGTTCCTGCTCACTGGCTGAGCGCGGCGTGGGCGCAACACCGAGGGTTGCGATCCCGTTGCCGGTCCCTGGTACGGGCGCGACATCGAGGGTTGCGATCCCGTACCGGTCAGTAAAAAAGACAAAAAGGAAAAATAAATAAATAAATAAATTCCAGCTTCTCTAGCACTTGTCAAACTATATGATCTTTACCAAATATATTTTTGAAATAACTCACTGAGCCTGTGTGTTCACGTGTAAAAGAGAATGACAGTACCTACCCTATTTACTTCACAGGAATATTATTGAGGATCAAATATTTATGAAGGCTATGTATACATCTCAAACACTATATAATGATATTATCATGAACAGAATGTATAAAACTTGAAATCCCACCCCAATTACAAATTATTTAACCTTGCCCGATGGTATTCATTAGATCTTTTTACAATCTTCATCATGAGATTAGCACATATTTTTCAAAATCCCCTTCTTTTGCAATTTGAAACAAATAAAAAAGTTAAAAACATAGTTTCAGAAAGCTAAAAATAAGATGCTGATTAAGTTCATATCTGATTAAATTAATAGATTCTCAATCCTTGAAGAATGTACATTTTAATTTTGGAGGATTTTTTGCTGCATCAAAAGAGAGATTTTTTCCCCCAAAATTCATCAAGGTATTATTTACATACAATTAAGTGCATTCATTTTAAGGATAAACTTTGTTGAATTTTGTAAAACACAAATACTTGTGTGATCACCATCATCATCATCAACATACAGAATATTTCCATCTCCCCAAAAAAGGTTCATGAGTGCCCCTTTCCAGAAAATCCTCCCATCCACAAGCAACCAAATGACTTTCTTTCACTATGTATCAGACTTATATTTTGTAGAGTTTCATACTAATGGAATCATACTGAATGTGCCTTATTGTTCTTTTGATAAGCATGATACTTTCTAGATTCATACATGTTTTTGTGTATATCAGTAGTTCATTCCTTATTATTGCTGAGTTATTAAACCAAATGAATAAACCGCAATTTTGTTTATTCACACAACTGTGAATAGAAATCTGGACTTTTTCCAGATTTGCACTATAATAAATAAGGCTTATTTGTGTACATTTAGAATTGCTTGGTCAAACAGTAGCATATATCTAAGATTTTAAGAAATTGCCAATTTGTTTTACAAAATGCATATACAATTTTACATTCCCGTCAGCAACGTATGTGCATTCCTGTTACTTCACATTCTTTTCAACACCTACTATTGTCGATCTTTTAAATTTTAACTGTATAGAAGTTATAAATTGCACTTTCCTAATGACCAAGCATTTATGTGTTCATTGGCCATATTTCCATATCTTTTGCCCATTTTAAACATCAGGTCAGTTGTATTCTTATTACTAAATTGTAAGAGTTCTTTACATATTCTGGATAGAAACCATGTCAGATTTATGTATAGTGAACATTTACATCATACCGTGGCTTGGTTTTTCATTTTCTTAATGGTATGTTTTGAAGAGCTAAGGTTTTTAAAGATCAGTTTTTTTTTCCTTTTATACTTCATGCTTTCAGTGACATATCTAAGAAATCTTTGTCTACACCTATATTTTCTTCTAAACTTTTTAGTTTCCACTTTCAGTTAATTTTTCCATATGGTATCACATTCATTTTTTTCATTAATCAATACTTATCAATACAATGCTGAAAAAATTTTGTTGGAAAGACTATCACTAGTGATAGGCTCAACTTGGTTGGAAAAATTATCACTAACATATCATGGAATTACTTTGGCATCATTGTCAAAAAACAACCATATCTGTGAAGGTTTATTTTTGGACCTTTGAGTCTATCCTAAGATTTAGATGTGTATCCTTATGCCAATACAACACTTTCTTGATTACTACAGTTTTAAATTAAATCATGAAATCTGATAGCATATGTGCTTCAAATTTATCCTTCTTTTAAAAAACTCTTTTCGCTATTTTAGGTCATCTGTGTTCCCATATGAATTTTGAGTTGGCTCTTGGTAATGTCTTGCACTTTTTAGTGTTCATATCTTTACATATTTTGTAAAATATAACCCTAAATATTTGATGGTTTGGGGTGTATTATAAACAGTATAGATTTTAAGTTTCAATTTTAGTTGTTTGTGGCTACTTATAAAAATATAATTGATTTTCATATTTTGACCTTGAATTCCATAACTGTGATAAAGGTTTTAGTTTTAGCACAATTTTAGTGCCTATTTTATAGATTCCTTAGGATTTTACATGCACATGATGATGTCATCTGGGAATACTGACAGTTTTACTTCTTCAAATCTGTTTGTCTTTTATATCCTTTTCTTGGTTTATAGAATTTGTCAGATCCACAGAATTTGTCAGATCCTCCAGTACAATGTTGAATAGAAGTGGTAAGAGTGGACATCCTGTTTTGTTCCTAATTTTAGGGGGAAAGCATATATTAATTATTATTAAACATGACATTATCTGTAGTCTTTTATAGATGCTCTTTATTGGGAGAGAAAGATTCCTTCTTTCCTAGTTTGCTGAGAATTTTTCTTATGAATGACTTAAATTTTTCCAAATAGTTTTTCTGTATCTATTAAGATGACTATGTGGTTTTTCTTTTTTATTCTATCAATACATGATGAGTATCACTTATCCAAAATGTTTGGGACCAGAAGAGTTTCAGATTTTGGACTTTTTGGATTTTGGAATATTTACATTATACTCACCAGTTGTGCTTCTCTAATCTGAAAATTTGAAATCTCTAACACTCCAATGAGCATTTTCTTTCAGCATCATGTTGGTGCTCAAGAAGTTTCAGATTTTGGAGCATTCTGGATTTTAGATTTTCAGATTAGAGATGCTTAACCTGTATGATGAGTTATATTGATTTTTACAAGTAAAACCTGTTTTGCCTTCCTTGAATAAACCCTACTTGGTCACAGTTTGTTACCCTTTTTGTGTATTGTTAGATTCAAGTTGCTTATGTTTTTTAAGGATGTTTCCCCTCTATGTTCCTGAGGAATATTGGTCTGTTGTTTACTTTTCTTGAAATATCTTTTGATATCATTACAACGCTCTCCTCATTAAGTGTTGGGAAGGATTCTATTCTATTTAATATATTTTAAAAGAGTAACATTATTTCTTTATTAAATGTTGGAAGAAATTTACTACCTGAGTGATCCTGGAGTTTAATTTATGGGAAAGTTTATAATTACCAACTCCCTTTCTTTACTAGATCTAGGAATATTAAGATTTTGTAGATCCTGGAGTTTAATTTATGGGAAAGTTTATAATTACCAACTCCCTTTCTTTACTAGATCTAAGATTTTGTAGTTTTTTTCTTCAATCAGTTTTAACTTTTATTTTTCAAAGTATTTTTCCATTTTACCTAAATTGTCATGTTTACTGGCATAAAGATGGTCATAATATTCCCACATTATCCCTTTAATCTGTAGCAGATGCCCCTTTCATTCCTAATATTAATAATTTCTATCTTCTATTTTCTTCTAGTTAGAGGTTTATTAATTTTATTATTTTTTTAAGGAAAACTTTCTTTTCATTCATTTTCTCTACTGTTTTTGTTTTGTATTTCATTGATTTCTGCTATCTTTATTTCCTTTCTTCTACTTACTTGGGTATATTTGGCATTCTCTAGCATCTTAAGATGGAAGCTTAAATAATAGATTTTAAATCTTTCTTCTTTTCTGATATAAGCATTTAAAACTTATAATTTCCTTCTAAGCACAGCTTTAGCTACATACCACAAATTCTAATACACTGTGCTGTCATTATAATTCATTTCAAAATATTTTCTAAATTCATTTCCATTGCAATTTATTTTTTGACCCATGGGTTGTTTAGAAGTGTTCTATTTAATTGCCAAGTGTTTGGAGATATTCCAGATATCTATTATTGATATGCAATTTAATTTCAGTGGGCCAGAAGCTTAGTCTGTAAGATTTAAATACTTTCAAATTTATTGAGACTACTTTTATTGCCCCACATGTAGTCTATTTTGATGAATGTTTTATGTGCACTTTAAAAAACATGATTCAGCTGTCTTTGGGTAAAGTGTTACATAAATGTCAATTAGGTCAAGCTGTTAGTGTGTTTAGGTCTTCTATATTCCTATTCACACACAAGTGATATAAATATAGGTTTAAATGATCCATGTTTATATAATTTTTCCCATTCTTTTAGTTTTAACCTATGGTGTTCTCATAATTAAACTGGAATTTTTGAAGAAAGAAAATAGCTAGGTCTTACTTTTTATCTAGTCTGACAATCTGTCTTTTAATTGTATATTTAGACCAGAGATTGAAAGATTATACCCCTCTCATCCATTTTTGTACAGACCCGAGCTAAAGGATTTGTTAAGAAAGAAGAAAAAAAGGCAGCAGCAGCTGTAGCAAGTGATAGAGACCACAGGTGACCCTCAAAGTTTAAAATATTTACCATCTGACCACTTACAGAAAAGGTTTGCCTACCCTTGCTTTAGA